TGGCTGTGTAAATTATGCTGGAAATCTTGATGAAGAAATATTTATGCTTTTACATTTTGGAAGAAAACTATTCATAGAAGTAAGAGGGAGGCAAACTACCCAGTTTAACTTAACTATGGTATAATTCAATCATGCGTGTAAAAAAATCTTTACCTATTTTTCAGGTTTAGTTTACTTTAAAATAATTTTATTAAAGAAGACCATAGATTCTTTGCAGCAGGCACAATGTGGGGATGTGGTTTTGCTCTTAATGGGTTATGTAGTAAAAGTTCACCAGTGTTGGAAGAATTATCGGTTCATTTAAAGCAGATAAAGAAAAATGTATTTTTTTATTTCTTTTTAACCCAATTGGCTCCTTAAAGTTAATACCCTGGCTGGTTGAAATGTCAATAATTTGCCCAGTTATATTACTTTAAGTAGCATTTACCCACTTTACCTGCTATGGATTTTATGCACTGTGGAACTTGATGCCACCTACATGAAATCATATAATAATAATAGTAATAATAATAATAATAATACACAAATATTATATCTGAAGATGCAGTCAGTGAAAAAATACAAATAAATCTTAACTGTATCAATCATCTGAACCCATGCTGTGGAATATCAGTGTACAGTATTGCAACAATTTGTGTATTAGTGCTGTCTATAAAATGTTATTTAACTGAGTTACTGTGATACTGAGTTCACTTTAAAGTAGAACTAAAGGCAAATAGAGTAAGAGAGAATTAAAACCCCTGTTGTTTTTTTGCCATCTGTGTCCCATTGTGGAGATTTCCCTTAAAGGGTTGCTAAACCCAGGACCCTGCATTCACTCTGTCTGGTCTCCCACAGAACACAGAACATGGAAGTGCACTTATTTTAGTAAATATAAACTGCTAAATACCTTTTCTCATCAGCAGTTAGAGCAGTCTTGTGCCGTCCGCAGAGCACTGGTTAAAGCTTGTGGGAGAAGTTTTCTTTCTGCTCTAGGAGTGTGCAAAACCCCTGACCTCTGTCTGGACAGTGCTGATTGGCTATGTGCTGTTTACATGCACTCTCTCAAGAAAAGAAAACCTCTCTAGCAATGCACACTAAACTGAGCATGTGCAGAAGGCCTATGAATTCAGTTTGTCTTATCAGGAGATAAAATGTAGACATTTGAACAAGAGGCGGGGCAGGGAAGACAGGATCAAACAGCCTTTTTACACAATGCAGAGGATTAACCCCTTAGTTTCCACAGTGAGTATAACAAGTATGCTTTACTGCATATACAGACTGATTTTACTGTGGTGGGTTTAGTAACACTTTAACCTGTCCCATAGACAAAACAGCAAGTGAGAGGAAGTCCCTCCAATGTGAGGGAATCCATGGTTGTCACCTGGGTCACTGGAACTAATGTCCCCATTAGAAGATTTCCTCTCCATTCCTGTTTTGGGGACAACCCAAAATTTGAGATTTTCTTTTACTATCACTTTTGGTGATAATGGTAAACAGGACAAATAAAGAGGATAAATCTCCTTAATGGGGCCCAGACAGCAATGAAAGCCTGACAAGTGTTCTATTCCATCTCCACTCTATCTAAAACTAAAAAAAAGTTTTGCCTTTGGTTATAATTTAAGAATATTTTTAGTTGCAGATAAGGTTTACAGGATAAGTGTAATTTATTATATGTCATTACCTTAGGGCTGGAAATAAAGGTCATTTGTTTACCTAATGCTTTTCTTCATCGTAAGCAAAATGTATTGTATTATATAGCTTTATAGGTGCATTATATTTAAAGAGTATCTGTCACAGAGAAATTCTGTGTGAAGAACTTCTGAGTTTATACAGCCTGCTTAAAGGATAAGCTCACCTTTGGGAACATGTTACGTGTTCCACCCGTTTTTAAGGTGGAACATGTAACATGTTCGCATAGCCGAAGCCGCCGCCCACCGCCCCCCCCCCCCCCCTCCCTCTGACAGATAGTACAGGGAGAAGTCTCCCCATACCATCTGTCAAATTTGAAAACAGCACGGCCATGCGGTGCTCCGCTCACACGGCCACATCATTCATTTGTGGGCTTCCGTGCATGATTGAACTGCAAGTCCCGGACGCCTTAGCGGCTGTCGGCTTGTAGTTTTCAATGAACTACCATGGCAGGCACTGTGGAGCACCGTGGTAGTTTATTGAAGCTTTCTGTCAGTATATCTGCTTGACTGTACATCCCATACTGCAAGCAGATATTCTGACAGGTCTGCAGGAGACCTGCATGGCATCAGCGATCTACTGATCATTGATCCAATGCTTTCCAGGCTCCTATAGACAAAAATAATAAATGCACATTTTTTTACCTGCAAAAAAAGTGCATTTATTATTTTTGTCTAAAAGGGGAACATATCGTTTAAGCTGGCCATATGCATATAGATTTCTCCCACTTAGTCTGTGGGCTGAACTAAAGAAATCAATACTTCCATCCAAACTAATAGCACCAAAGAATGGATCTCCTGATGCAGGATATTGTATCCGAAAAAAACGGCACCACCAGCTGTCCCTGCATGTGATTCGATGCAGGGGCTGTTAGGCCAACAATTTTCCACCTGGTTCCTTCCATAAAAGTCAACTCCTCTGAGCTACTTGACTTTTATTTATCCAGGTGTTGTGAACGGGGCAACCTACAGAGTGAATTTTATTTGATTCAGCATAAATCAGCTGCAATTTGATGTGCTTATAGCTAGCTTTTCTTTGAAGGCTAAGTTCACCTTTTAACAAAAGAATCATAAATGCATTTAAAACTGTGCATTTATTTATTTATTTTTCCTGGAGCGTGCAGAGCACGGCACCCAGGATCACCAGATTTTAGGGGTAATGCCAGGCTCCTGCAGAATCCCATATAGCTGTCTGCTTGTGCCTCCCGTATTTTTAAAAATTTGAGTAAGCTGCCTTCCAACTTTGTCTAAATATGTTTGCAATGCATCTAATTGAAAAGAATTGATAGAAGAAAGCATACATGATCAGGTCAATGAGAAGGTTTTGGTTTTTATAGCCCAAATAAGCCTAGAGTTTCCCTTAAAACATGGACATTTGGCTACACCATTGGGATCCTCCTCTTCTAAAAGCAACCTATAAAATTCCTTTTCTATCTTCACCTTTCTTTGTGGCCTTTAAGTTACTAACATTTTTTATAAATCAGCGTCAAGTAAATATACTGACTTAGTTTAACTGAAATCAAAGTTTCTTTTAATGCATACATAGTGTGACTTACTGGCTGGCAGTGTTTTGGGTGGGATGAAGCCTTAAGTCCAAGATCCACATTTTACATGGTAGCCAGTTGTCACCGATTGTGTAGCTGTGCATTGGTTTTCTGTGTGTGAGATAACTGAGGCTCAGGGCTGCTCCCACCCAAGAGATGAAGTGAGTGCTGCTAGGAGCGGCAGGTGTGTACAGACACATTGGGGGTTATTTACTAAAACTGGAGGGTGCAAAATCTGATGCAGATTTGCACAGAAACCAAACATCAAAGCTTAATTGAACAAGCAGAAGTTAGAAGCTACTATGCACAGCTGCACCAGATTCTGAGCGCTCCAGTTTTAGTAAATCTCCCCCACTGGGCTTGTTTGTCTGTGTTTTGGCCTATTAGTTACCAATTTAACCAGGAGAATAAAATAACCTGTGGTTTGATGTGATGTTGGAACCCCCTGCAAGGGAAAATCTGATACAAAGAATTTTGTTTTAAATAAATGGAATTGGAAAAGCCACCAAATGTATGTTAGTAAGTGGACTAAGTCCCAAAAACTCAGTTTTAAGAGAGTCTTTACAATGGGAATGGAAGATTATGAAATATTTATTTGCTAGACCGGAAGCTATAAGAATTGACTACAAGCTATGAACATTGCAACTGTTTAAGGCCTGATCAATCTAAATTTTCAAGAAAAAAAAATTAAATTTTTCATCTATACTTTTAAGAAAAATTTAAGAAAACGAATAGATTTTATTTATAGGACTTGCTAGGTTTTGGATGCCAAACTTGAATAGCAATGAGCAAGTATGAAATTGATGGCAATAGTTTTGGAACCTGTGTTACAAATGTTTGGCAAATCAATTATTTTCTGATATACATGTAAAACAGGTATGTTAAAAATCTTATCAATATGTGCTTATGTTATGTTCAAGAACTGTGTTTCTTTGTATGGTTTGTAATTACATATGTATGTTTAGTCATAACTGTTCATTACATACATAGGCTATGCTTCCTCCTTTGCAGTACCAGAGAGTGGTTATGCTTTATTGTTCCTTTTCAAAAGCAAGTTATTGGGGTTTGTTAATGGAATAGATAATGTTCACACAGCAAAATTAATTAAATGACGCTGTATTGACTTCAATCATAAAATTATGTCCAAAGCAAAGTCTTCTTTTCTAGTTTCCCTGCATACCATTGGCTATTTAAAGTAAATGCAGCTTCACTTTCTTAATTAAGTCAACATTCACTTTGATAAGTAAACATTTGTTTGTTTTTCTCAGTACAGTTTTCTTTTTAAATTGGAAAAAAAAACAGCTGAGTTACAGGATGCTTCAAATCTGAACTCCAGGCAAAGAGTTACAGGTACAGAGTTGAAATAAACACCTATAAACTGACAAATACTAGACTTTCCCTGTTACAGCTATGGAATATAGTGGTGTCATCTTTCCACCCAGAGCTGACTGGACAGTAAAGAAGCACAAAAACACTAATAACTCTGGGTTCTCTTCCTGCCAGTGTGTTCCATATCGACATATTTACATGCAGGACACCTGAATAGCTCCTATTACTACTCCTACTTACCCCAGTCTGAATGCTGCTGTGCAAAAGATGAGAGCATGCTGATATCAGGTTGGTTTCAGGTGCTAATGTTTGTTGTATGTAAAATAAATTTTATTATTTATACACAGTTGGATTAAGTGCCCAGAGTTCAGGTTTAAAGCAAAAAGAATTTGTCCCTTCCTTGTTCAGCTATGGAAGTGCCTGAACTTGCCTCGATCCAGTGGCGGACTGACAACTCATGAGGCCCCTGGGCAATAGGGGATCATGGGGCCCCTGTGTCCTAGCCCACACTCAAACCACACCCAAAAAATCCTATGAAAGGTACCAGGGGCATCTCATGGGGCCCCCTACTGACCCCAGGCCCTCGGGCATTGCCCGAGTTCCCAAATGGTCAGTCCCCCCCCTGCCTCGGTCCCCTACTCCACTTACGTAATAGGTGAATGCAATCATATACAGAGAACTCTTTGCACTCTTTTTCATAGAAAGCAGAAGAACTGACACTTACAACAAACAAAAATGTTTTTAAATGTAATAAGAAGCACATTTAAAGGTAGAAGGCTCTTGCTATTATACACTGGTTAACTCCTAACTGGATTGATCCTTTTCTGTCACTGATAAATTTGTTTCATCTCTTTGAAGGCTTGGGCCATGTATGGCCAGCAGTCTTGGTTCCCAAATTCAAATGTATAAAGAAAACTATTCTTTCCTTTCTTTGTTCCTCCCTTTCCTTTCTTTGCTCTGCTTGTTTTCATCATATTTGCACTGATTGTAACCCCTTTTTTTTTTTTTTGAGAACCGTAGCAGCAATACTATATTTACCCGCTGGACTTCCTCAGGAGTCCTGGGTGTGGAATACCAATGTGCATCCAGTGAGACTTTGTGTCTTATTTTTCCTGCCTTCTGTATGCGGATTCTATGATAATCTTTGATCTTTGTTTACTAATTCATTGGTCTATAATTTTCTGCCATTTTTGCTAATTATTATATTTTATTTCCCGCTTCATATACTGTGCATGTGTACTCAGTTTGTTTCCTTGCCTATACTTCAGTGCATTTATTGTATTATTCATCAGAAAACTTGTATGCTTTGTTTCTGTTGGTCAGTGATTTTGTTTATGACTGTTTCTCTGATGTTGTCTACTGTACAATAAAATCTATTGGAAAAGAAAACTATTCAACCAGAACTAAACCCAGCGATTTAACTGTTTCCCAAAACATTTACAATCAAGGCATGTGCTTGGATGTCAGCTATGCCGATGTGGACTCTCTAGCTAAACTGAAAGGGACACCAAATGAGAGGTGGTAGGCTTATCCAAGAAATGTAGGCCAATAGCCACTCCATGGCTGAGCAAGGCACCTTGGAACAGGTTAGATCTGGATGATTATTATGCAAAGTAGGAAGCACACTGGACCACACTAGAAAAGGGAGGCCCAGGAAACTGGAATAGGATCCCTCTGGAATGAATGAGGCCTGGGAGTAGGATCCGGAGAAGCTGAAGTTGGAGGAAAGTCCCACACAAAGATGTGAAGTCAAAAAAGCCAGCAGGTATTCACAAGGGCCCACCTCTTGGGGGTTTGGGATTTGATGTGTATTAATCCTAGGTTAAAACCCCTAGGCTCCCCCTGCTCTAAGTACGATGGACCATGAGTTAGAGGTCCTCAGGAAGAGTCCAGAGGACAGGGCAAGGACATGGATGGTCAAAAATGAGCAAGAGGTCAGGATGGGCAGCAGGTATAAATAACCATTAATGAGCTGGAGGACAGGATGGGCAGCAGACACATATATCCAGGAATAAGCCAGAGATTATGACAGGCAGCAGACACAGATAACCAGAAACGATCCAGAGGTTATGGTCCAGAAGCTGGTACACAGGCTGGATACCAGGAAGGCATATCAGCAGCTCAGCAGCTAGCTTGCAAAAGTGTTGCTTAGGCAGCTAGCCAGAATCTGTGCCCTTTTTAAAAAAAAAGAGAGTTGTTGTGGCAGTTCAGAGAGAGGAAGAGCTGCACCACTTTGTTTGGATGTGGAGGTGACAATTTCAAGAGAGGACGATGAGATAAGACCCAGAAGTACATGTGCTGCATGCCATAGAAGCAGATGTGGCACTGGATCAAGGAAGATAATTAGTGCTGACAGCATGCCTTTGGTGTTAAATGTCACAGTTGCTAATGTATTTCTGTCAGCTCCTAACCAAATGTTCAAGCCTTCCAATGGCTGGTGTCATAGCTGATCACATGTGCAGCAACATGGTAATTGATCTAAAGAGAGGCTAGGATTACACTATCTTACCATCAATAAAAAGTAGATCTTCAACCAAAAAAATTTAAATATAACAACTTAACGTCTGTCAGTTAGGTTAAGGAAGAGGGATTGCCAGTCTGGATAGTCTATTTGATTGCCAATCTGTATAGCCTTTAGTAAATTACCTCCCCAGAGTAAGTTCTGTATACCCAGTCTTTATTTTTTAAAATATACTTATATTTGAAATGCTCATACTGTCATATGGCAATGGTAGCATTAGAGTATACTTCAAAATCATGTATTTATGGGCAATAAAAATCATACTGAGACTTACATGAAAATAATATTGCTGGTAGATTTCATGGTGACGTACAGGGACAGAAGTAGAAAAAAATGTGTTTAATTAGGTTCATTAACATCAAGCTTAATTAAATGCAATTTATACTTTGCAGAAGTTCACTGCCCAATTTATTATATGTGCCTCTTTGTCATAAAACTGTATGTGAAGATTAACATACTGATTGAATGACGGCATTGGCCCATCACCCTTCCCCTCTTCCATGGCATTTTCAGTTCTATGAAGAATGTCAACATATATGTTAAATTATCAGTCTTTATATGTGTGATGCTTGAATCCAAAAATGCAACTGCGTTCTAAAAAAATAATAACATAAAATGGCTGATTTACTAAAGGAGAACATTTTGACATTTGGTGAAATGAACGCGTGTTCACTAAAAACAACCACCCATATGCAGGGTTATATATATATATAAAAAAAAAAGAACTGCTTCTTGTACAAGACTTGATGTTTCGCCTCTTTTGCCTCACTAATAACACAGGCCCCAAATCCACTTAGTTGACACATTAAAAAATGCTCTCTATTGTTAACAATAATAATATTAATTATAATAAATTTTCATTTTAGAAGTATAGCTTAAAATTTGGTAGAGAAAAGTAAGCCAAAAAATCAAATATATTAAAGAGAGGATATAAAATAATGTCTAAAATAATTAACGCATGAACTAACAGTAAAACACATGATCGTTTGTTAAATGGTTAATTTATTTTTGCCTGATAAGATTTTTTTTAATCATATTTTTTCAAGTTATTGATTTTATGATTGAGAAAGATGACTGGAAGAGTTTAGCCTAATTTTAAATTTACCTGTTGTTATGATTTCATTTTATATTGGGACATTATTTAAATTTGGAGAAAACAGAAAGAACTTAGGCCACTAACACTACAATGTAAATCAATTCACAGACTTGAATTTCCATGTGCACGTTTAAAGGAAAAACAAGACATTTTTGTAAAGTTACATGTTAAAATTCTATAACAAGTGGGATATGTTAAACCTGTGTTTTAATGCTCACATTTTTTCAAGATTAGTAAAACCCATAGCAACTTCATTTTTATAAAACCTCAATTTGTCATTCAAGAAATACCTAAAATGCAATTTAACATAATATTTAAACTTGCATTTGAATTCAAAGGTGTTGTTTCATTTTGCCCTGTCTGGGTTTTGCTCTGCAGATTTCATATCTTCATTGCACAGAAATGGAAGTGACATTTGCCTTATTAATCCCTATTTGGCAAGAAAACAGGTTGCATAAAGGAAGCAACATAATTCTGTATTAACAGTAAAGTGGTATATGATAGATTTAATCATTTCTGAAAATTAAAGTACTAAAAGCTTTAATATGTTAACTTGTTTGCAACCAAATGAAGTTAAAATAACTAATATATGAAGGAAAAGTATAAGCAAGGAGGCCTGTTTTTAGTACTCATTCCCCAATTTCCAAAAAAATAACTACAAGTGTATACTTTTGGTTTAAGAAAGACTGTGTGTGTTTTCCCTTTGAGATCTTGACTTTCCTCCCTTGAGCTTTTCCTTAGCTGAAGGCTGCCGTCATTCTTCACACAAGTGTGGATGCTTATTCAGTCGCAAATGCAGATCAGTCAACTGATTTTATGAATCAACTACAGAGAAGCAAATGCTCTTCATCTATAAATTAAGAATACTAAATGGGCAGGGGAATAGTGGAAAAAATGTATATTTCAATGAACTGAAAAAAAAAACATTAAAAAATGTTATATACATTTTGCCATTTATATACTATTAATTTCACTATATTAATATACTAATGTACTAATAATATAACTGGGAAAGTATATTTATAGCCCTTACAATAATTTTACAGCATGTCAGTTCTATTTATTTCTTAATGCACAAAAAACAGTAGACTTAAAAAAATGTAAATGTAAAATGTATAAAATTATTTTGGAAATATTTCAAGAGTTACAAATGTGTTCCCTGTATTCTGAAGTCAGATATTGAAATCAGATTTGGGGGGGGGGGGGGGGGTTAAGGGAAATTAAGAAGCTTAACAGCTTTTCTTGTCCTCTGAAGTGGCTGCTTGAAAGGCTGCCTGCTGCCCTGTGTGTGGCATGTCTTTCCTAACATCTAATCTGTGGCTTTGTGCTGCTCTCTTTCACTGGGACGCACATGCTGCTTCTCCAGTCCGATGCAGCTGGGCTTCTCAAATGCTAGTGTTTACCAGTTCAAGGGAAGTTCCGTAGTCTGAAAGTTAGGACAAGGTACAGAAACATACCTGCTGCAGGTCCATTATTGATTATTATTACATTATTAAAGGGTCCCATGTGCATTAAATTATTGAATCACATATACCTACATAAAATATTTACTAATAAAATGTAATGATCACTCTGGTAAATATTTTTATTTAAAGGTTCACAAAATATATTAATGTGATATGATTAGTAATTTTCCAGAACTATACACTTTTCAATTTATCTTTTCTAAATATGCATCCAACATATTCTACCTAATGCCAGAAAACACATTATGTAAATGAGGTGGAGGAGACAAACTCAGCAGGATTCTAGTGGCTTAAAAAGAAAGATTATCCTTTGGAACTGAAGAGATGTTGAAATGTAATTACAAAGTTAACTTCTGTTTTTAACTTAGAACTATTGCGATATACAAAATGTAGTACTTATACCTAGCTAGCTGTATATATCATGTTTAAAATGTAGAAGAGTGCAATGACACAATAAAATATTTTCTCCAAGCAAGCCTGCTAATAGTATTATTGAAGCTATTATTATCGTTATTGCTGTTATTAATATTATTCTTATTATTGTTATTATAATACTTTGTGTGCTAGTAAAC